AATAGTACTGTGAACATTGCGAAAGCCTACATTGAGTAACGGTTTTATGTATCGGTTGGGACTATTTTAACCAAGAGGACCGAACGGTGTGATGGAAGTGGTTAGCACTATCAAAGACCACTAAAGAAATCAGCCCAGTGCTTCAACGAGGCCACTAAGTTGTTGAGAAAATCCGCTAAATCAGATCGCATTAAGTTGATAGGCAAGAAGTAAAAGATGACCCAATGTTGTGAAGCTTATTACTAATAGATCAGTTTGACGTACGGAATTTTTCTTACTTTTGGCAAAGTTATTTTAGTTCGAGACCACACTTATCGCTCACTCAAAGTGTCGATGCATGACAAATAGTGCAATGTCAGCTAGACAAAACTGTACATGTAGCAAAATAGTACCATAAATTAGTGCTTAAATGGTATGACAGCTTACCAAACTTTTCCAAGATCCTGTAGCAATAAATAAACGTGGCCAACTGATCCCAGCCCTCGCGAAGGAGTTGAAAATCCAACAGTCTCGAGGAATGCGGTTCGGCATTTAAAACCTCCATTTCCTGCACTTTTAAACACCTCTCCTTATCAGCCTCTTGAACAGCAAACATAGCCTTGACTCCCATGTTCGCCTTCACCGACGTAGTCTCCATCAAATTGGCAGAGTTTTGCGGTTTATTTGAAGTCGATTGCTGCTGTGACGAAACATAGCCTGTATCACAGCAAACACTTTCTGACCGCGCTAAAAGAAGGTTGCTGAAGGACACTTTTTTGGGCAATTTTGATGCACTTGGTGTGCATGTTGGTAAGGAACTTTGGGTCTTTGATGGAGGCCTTAATGGCGTTATACTTGTTGGTACCTTAAAGACAGGTGGGGCAATACGGCTGGTGGACTCACAAACATCATCAAGCGAGGTGAGTAGTTGCATTTCTTTGGGGGTTTTGAAGCTCGGGGTAGAGTGATCATGTTGAACGTCGTTCGCTGCTCCATTAGGAGACTTGATTGCAATAGTGTTAAGGGAAACATTGTAGTTATAGGACTCGTCCATATCCACAGGAAAAATGGGTGAGATGGTGTAGTTCAGCTGACGGTAATGCATGAAATCAGAGGGTTCTTCACTGGCCTCTACGGAGTCAAGAAAGGAACACAGCTCCTCTTCCACCATCCTATCTGTCTCAGGACTGACACAATCAACAGCATTCTGATTCCATTTGAGTCCCTTCTGTCCAACTTCTGAGGGTGTTTGGATGGAAGAAGGTTGGGGCAAGGATGGTGGGTCACCCGCAAATGATGATTCATGAGGAATGTGAGTGTGTGAAGTACCAGCTATGGAGGCATTCAGAGCTGGAGTAGATGGAAGACTGACTGCCTTTGGAGTGGGGCTGATTTCTGTCAACAAGTTAGCCGATTTGCCTTTTGGTACCTTGATCAGACAAATTAGAACGTTTTATATCCGCTGCATTCTTTAATTTAGAGCTCTGAGTTCCTGGAAAAAGCGGTTAAGCTTAAATGACCTCAATCTTCAAAATTTTACTTTGCGTCTCTCCGTATGGTTTTGAATTATAAAGTAGGAGATGATGAATCCTCCTAACGCGTACGAGCAGCACTTCGGAAGTAAACCGAAAACCTAAATTTGTAATCAATTGGGTCTGAATAATAACAAATGAAGAGAAAGGAAAGTGCAGATCAACATAAATTCGAATCTATTCATATCCAATCCTTAATGAGGTAGCATCCAGATTAACCCAAATGTATTTTAATCACAGCCAAAGAAGGCTTTATAATCTGCCACAACCAGTGGTGTGAATTGATTAAAATAAGGTTATAGATCTCCTTAAACAATCTTAAGACGGCTACCCTCATTGTAGGAATAGAAGAATCAAATTTCTGTTTCCCAATCAGAAGCGCACCTGTTCCGAGTGCAATTTGGCTGCCTTGAAAAAAGTGTGAATGTTTGCCTGCTTTAGGTTGCCACAGACCCTTTTTGGTGTTGCGAACAATGGTTTAGATGATTTTGTCTGCTTTGACCTGCAGATTTTCGGACTAGAAGAAAAGGCAGGTTAATGCTAAAGTTTTTTCGTTTTTAAAGCTAATCATCGAACAATACTTACGTTTTCCGCTTGCAATCTACCTTCAGCTGCACTGAAGAAGGCGAATTTGGAATGTAGGGGCTGATGGTCATTGGAAGAATCTGATTTATGTTACCAAATGTGGTATTAAGGCCTTGATCCATCCCTTCGGTGCAGAACTCGGACCAAGGGATGGGAAAGTTGATGTTCAAGTCGATGCCCACTTAAAAATCGTGGCCATAGTGTAAGAATCGAAAATTGTGAGATCAAGAGTAACGCATTTCGAAGACTTACAGAAGTTAAAGCTAATTAGACTGGTGAAGAGAAGCTTAGCCCCTGAGGTGTAGTGAATCATAATGCGCTGAGACCACTTACCCGATGATTCAATCATCGTGGTTCTAAAATTACACGAACAAGATACATTGCTTAATCACATAATCGGGTTGAAAGCGTAGCTTTATATCATAGTAGGAAATGAGCAGATGCAGAAGCTTCGAGCTTAACGTCGTAAATTTAAGGGACTGATGGCTTCAGCTTTGGGCAAAAACGCTTACGAAAGCACAGTTTTGAAGATGATGCAATTTTTGTCGTCTCCAACTATGAGAGCAATCTGATCAAATTTGCTGGATCGTATGAGACGAACTGTGAACTCAAACTCCACGCACTCAGGAGCAGCTGTTGTTACCTTAAAAGGAAATAAGTGACTTCTTTAGATTAGATCTAAGAAGAGTCAGTTGCTAAACTGCAAGAAAATAGAAATAAACATTGAAGTTTATTCAAACTCAACTCAACCGCATTCAAATAGTAATTAGAAGTCTTTTTACAGTGACATTTTTGAACTTCCTTGTCGCAATTCGTTTGCCGCCTAGTTCACAAACAAAACAGCGACTTTGCTTACTGAGGCCAGTGTATAAATGCGTGACACCCGTCACTAATCCTTACTTTAAGCAGCTGCGCAGACAGATCATGTTTCTGTCCCGACAACTGTTTTTGCTTCCTGGCCACGGCCAGACTGAAATCAAGTAATGTTCAGACCAAATCAGAAAATCTTTAATCCATCGTGGATGCCTCAATAATGAGGACTATGCCATTACATACGAGCACTACTTCATCTATCATAGATTTTTTATAAAAGACTGTAGTTGACGCTGTAAAATGAGTGAGCCGACCTGTTCAGCGGCGAGTTCATATTTGGGTATTCCAAGAGCGCTCTCGTAGACTTTATCACCAAAGGGTGGTTTTCGATTGAGGATCTAAAACAATTGAAATTTCAGGCAGAAAGTGTTACGTTCAAGTCATGAAGTGCGCACATGACCCTCTGAAAACAGTGTTCGACGCAAGTGACAAAGGGTAAGATAAAAGCGTAACCGATAACGCATCTCATTGTAATAACACAGAGCTACATTTTTTAAACATCTTGTCAAATCAGTGTGATAAGCTGGCTCTTATTCGTTTAGATATTATGTATCCTCAATTATATTCAAGTGCTCTAAAAATCTGATTTTGAAATTACCACCCTACATACCCTCACCTGTTCAAGTCTTCTTGGTCCAAGCCTCTCTATGTCCTTCAGTGAGACCACTCCAGCTCCAGCCAATTGATTAGCGCAGCCCTTGCTCACATCGGGTAGCTGACGCAACGAGGCGAGGGGGGCGTCAGCCCAGGCACGGTAATTTACCACTTTGACTAGTTCAATCACATGAGCCATGCAGGCGAATCCAGTGTTTACTGCAGTAGGGGGGATGTCTGCAACTGTTGGCGCGGCGTCCCAGCTCCCGTAGGAAGTTGTCCCCCAGAGGAGGTTGCGGAGACCTGCATGAATAAACTAGGATGAGTAATTTATTAGCTTACCTGTCGCGCAGCGAGCAAATACCTTGAGAGCTTTGTTACTTTCCTGTTGAAGACCCGGTTCGAGTACAACGAAGTCATTTAACTCTGCTTGCAGTAGCGTAACTACTTTCAATTGGGGTGTGGTAATTCGACCTTTCGTTGGATACCTAGGAAAGTTATAAATAAATGCAACCATATGATTGAATTGCTACCGTTAATGTAACATTACCTCAGTCGCTGAATACCAGTTGCTTTGTTGATGAGATTCAACTGACTTTTCTCCTGATTACGAATCGAAATCTCGTGCAATTCAGCACATCCAGCAACATAATGTATCTATGTGAGGAAGAAAACGTTGGGACACTACTCCTGTAAACTCACCAAATCTATAAGGGTTTCAGAGCCAGTAAGGCGAAAAATGGATTCTACCGTGCTGGCGGATAGAAAATGTTCACACATTAACTTTCCAGCTACTAGATGCGCAACAAAAATATGGACATGAACTTAGAATCAGCCTACGATAAGGCACAATCATCCGATCCTCATTTGATATTTTTAAAGCTCCGATCGATTTCAGTTTGTCCAGAGCATCCAAGCAGAGTCCTACCGACAAATTTAAGGAGGGCGGAAGGCTCACTTTCAAGGATCATTGAGGTACCAGCTTGAGGTATTTGTAGGCCATAGAATATTGGGTTCTTTGGAATGCGTATGGCCAGGTAAGTATCAGATATCCACTTAATTCCATCTTCCAAGTTTTTAATTCGACCCAACATCACCTCAACATTAAGGTAATCTACAAGGCAGGTGTGGAGACTGCAGCGATTAGTTAAAACACTCCAAACTTGCTCTCAACACTCTCAGCATCCTCTACCCAGTGTTCGTAGTACTCCTGAGGTCAAAAGAATTAGTGTATAAGGGAGTGAACACAGACCTTTTTGGAAGAAGTTGTCATGATCACTGCGGTTGCTGAATTACTAAACTATAGGCAACAAAGACAAATTTGAGGGACGAAAAACACACGTACTTGTGGACGACCGGCCCTGCCAATCATTTGTACCATTTGTCTGGCAGTGTATTCTTGTGTAGATCCTTCCACGTAAAGAGTAGTGTTCTTTATAATCACTAGGTGGACTGGTAGGTTAATTCCCATTGACAATGTGCTTGTTGATACTACAGAGCAGCGTATCAGTGAGAAAAAATTTACAGCGACTCTTACCAAGGATGGGAATACAGCCTTCCAGGAAGGCCTCTTCTACCAGTCGGCGATCTGTAGGACTAACGCCAGCATGGTGAAATCCAACACCCTTGCTTAAACATTCTAAAAATCAAATACGTAGGTTGGTTTTACATCGAAATAAACTAAAAGCATTTCAGGAGGCAAGATATGTCGATTATTTGCTTTATGGGCATATAAATATTAATGCAGAAGTAATCATATGCAATTCACCCATTAAAGGTAATGGGCTTTGCAGGTAGTGCTCAATGGTAAAAGCACTACAAAAACACACCTTTAAGCAAGCTGCCAGAGATATTGTTGAGAAGATCTTGACGAATACTCGGACGCAAAATGATTTCACGAGCCAAAAACTCTGCCGTATTTTCTACAGTTTTTCGGGTAATACTAAACTGTTATATTTTTTGAGTTAGGATTCTTATCAAGGCCGTACGATAAGAGTGGGGCGACCCTGCGAATATGTATTGATAAGAGGCAAGAGTTTCTTTGTAAGGAAGTGATCGAATTGGAAAAGAGAACATTGTGGTGGCTTCTTAAAACCTAACACAATTTTTGTGATTGGCACTGGCCGAAACTGTGATCCAAAACTGAAGCAAAATTGATGAAATTCAACAAATATTACGACTACCTACCTTTTGTATAAGCAGGGACGATTAGGTATAGATAACCATTGTGCGATCTATCAAATTAAAATAAGAATCAAAGTACTTGCATCAGAAATATTTTGACAAGTGGCTGTTGCAGCTATAACTCGAGGTCGAAATGGAAGGAATCTCATAACGGTTGCCTCTAAACAGGCTCCACGAGACTGATCTGCAATCGTGTGAATCTGACGCAGTGTGATAAAAGATAAATTATGGAAGCGGTACTAACTTCATCAACCATCAAAAGTTTAACTCGAGAAAGAAGATCCTTTAATCCTTCTTGATGACGCAATAGGCTGTCAATTTTTTCCGGCGTTGCAATAATAACTCCATGTTGCATTATCTCCTCGATTTCATAATGTGGTGAATCAGATGTGAGCTCAAGGCAGGTGTGGCCGAGAGTGTTCAGCTTAATTTGCCACTCAGCCGTTCGTTCTGAACACAAGGACTTCAAAGGAGCCACTAAACATATCAAATTTTATTTCTAACTCACAATAAAGTAGAATTGGCTTATTTGCTTCGTTTGCTAG